AATAATCCAATTATTGGAATTATAAATGCATTTCTAAGAACAATGTAAATAAGGTTGCCTATGTTACTTTACCAGTAGGAGATAGTCAGGATTACTTAACAGTTACATATTTAAATAAAACGCGTTCTCACAAAATTAGTAGTAGTATATTTAAAGACACAATTAATATGATTGGTTGTGGAGTAATACACCAAAACGTGAAGACACTGCTGTTTTTTGAGTGTTAACGCAACGTTTTTTCAACTTTGAGTACAAATTACAGAATTTTAGAAGCATATACATTTGACTTTAGTATTTAAAGATACAATTAACATGATTGGTTATCGAGTAATACACCAAAACGTGAAGACATTGCTTTTTTTGAGTATTAAAACAACGTTTTTTTCAACTTTGAGTACAAATTACAGAATTATTGAAGCATACACATTTGAGTTTAGTTTTAGTATTTAAAGACACAATTAATATGATTGGTTGTGGAATAATACACCAAAACGTAAGGACACTGCTTTTTTTGAGTTTTAAAAAGACGTTTTTTCAACTTTGATAACAAATTACACAATTATTGAAGCGTATGCATTTGACTTTAGTTTTTGTATTTAAAGACACAATTAACATGATTGGTTGTGGAGTAATACACCAAAACGTGAAGACACTGCTTTTTTTAGTGTTAAAACAACTTTTTTCAACTTTGAGAACAAATTACAGAATTAATGAAGCGTATGCGTTTGACTTTAGTTTTAGTATTTAAAGACACAACTAACATGATTGGTTGTCGAGTAATACACCAAAACGTAAAGACATTGCTTTTTTTGAGTGTTAAAAAACGTTTTTTCAACTTTGATAAGAAATTACAGAATTATTGAAGCGTATGCATTTGACTTTAGTTTTATTATTTAAAGACACAATTAACATGATTGGTTGTTGAGTAATACACCAAAACGTGAAAACACTGCTTTTTTTTTAGTGTTAAAATGACGTTTTTTTAACTTTGAGTACAAATTACAGAATTATTGAAGCATATATATTTGACTTTACTTTTAGTATTTAAAGATACAATTAACATGATTGGTTATCGAGTAATACACCAAAACGTAAAGACATTGCTTTTTTTGAGTATTAAAACAACGTTTTTTTCAACTTTGAGTACAAATTACAGAATTATTGAAGCATATACATTTGAGTTTAGTTTTAGTATTTAAAGACACAATTAATATGATTGGTTGTGGAATAATACACCAAAACGTAAGGACACTGCTTTTTTTGAGTTTTAAAAAGACGTTTTTTCAACTTTGATAACAAATTACACAATTATTGAAGCGTATACATTTGACTTTAGTTTTTGTATTTAAAGACACAATTAATATGATTGGTTGTGGAGTAATACACCAAAACGTGAAGACACTGCTTTTTTTTAGTTTTAAAAAGACGTTTTTTCAACTTTGAGTACAAATTACAGAATTATTGAAGCATACACATTTGAGTTTAGTTTTAGTATTTAAAGACACATTTAACATGATTGGTTGTCGAGTAATACACCAAAATGTGAAGACACTGCTTTTTCGAGTGTTAAAGAAGTTTTATCAACTTTTAGAGAACATTACAGGAAAACGGTACTAGATACAAATATAAGGATACTTGCATATTGAAGCATGGACATTTCTCATTAAGTATACTATTAACAAGATTGGTTATCAAGAAAAACACTCAAAAAAGCTTTGAATAACAGAAAATGTAATTTATGGTGGATTATGTGCTGTTGCTGTAGAAATTAATTATGTAACAAGTGTGAGTTAAAAGTATATAAGTTGGATATTGTAGGGTTTTGTGGAATGTAGCGTAGGTTATGGGAATTTTAATAATAAATGTAAGTGTGTTTATTTAATTGAGCAAAGGGAATCGTAAGTAATGATTGCGGTGTCGGAGGGGCGGAAGTGTCAGCAGTGTGAAAGATGGGTATAATTCGGGATTAGTTAATGTACACTAGGATTGAATTAGTAGAAAGGATAATGAGTAAATGGTTATTGGGTTGTGTTGTGGAGTAGAACGGACGTATTATGGAAGGACGAAGATGAGATGGCTTGCGTTCCACGGAGCGCCCGTTACCCTCTGACAGTGACAGATTCATCCCGTCCTCCGATACTGGCGGCAAATAAATAAATAAGCCCCTCCGGTCCTTCGTCCTTTACTGATGCACTTCCAAGGATTGTCGTTCCTTCCGCATATATTGATTTATGTTTAATTTGCGGTGTTCCGTGTTCTGCGGTCTACTTGAAAAATGCAGCCGTCCCCCATTTCTCATCATCACTTAAACGCGGTTTATATATTGTAAAAGCTTGGAGGTGGAGGCAGCGGTTGGCGGTGAAAATAAAGCAGCGAGTGGTCCGGTTCCACCGCTCTGCAGCATCGTTAACGGTTTCTTATTAACCGTTGGATGCGGCTCTGAGCCCCCGATCTAATATACAGAAACTGCAAAGACTCTGATCTTTACTCGACGAATGCAATATGTCGCATAACACATCTTTTCATAACGTCCTTAGTGTATTATCAACCTTCAACCAAGAAATAAACTAAAAGTAAACACAAAATTTATATTGAACATAAGTTTAAATAAATAAATCAAAATTGAGAAACAAAATAAACCACAAACAAAATTGGTAAATGTTGGAAATTTGCACATATTAAATCATCAGTTTATACACCAATTGATTTTCTTTATTTAAAATCATTGTTTTGCGGTTTTTGCTTGCCAATGCAAAAATGAAAATAACACGCGTCCCGGCAATAATGCGTTGCCATTAATATTCGAACGAAAGAAACGCACAAACCGAATGATTCGCAATTACTGCGATTAATTAAATATCAATTTTGCGATGTGGCCGGGCACGAAAATCTGCACGCAATGATTGCATTAAAATTCATTAATTAAACGCCAGATATTCCTACTTTTTTTTTAAATTTTGTTGATTTTCTGCACTCACAATTAAATTTCATCCATATACAAAAAGATGTGTAAATTGACATGAATGAATGGCTTGATAATATGTACAATTTTATTTAATAAAACTTACGAACTCCCGGACTTACGAACAAAATTTTTAAAAGCTCTAACTTGTAACAAGGATATATATAGTGTTAAAAAATTAACTGTACAAACAAAAATTGATAATTTCTTTAATAAAATATAATATTTTTTGAAGATGTACTATATGTTTTGTTGGGGTCTATATCACAATCCCGACAAACGAAAGACCGTCTATTGAAATCCCGAGTTTATCAAAATCCCGACGTTCGAAATCCCGGCTGTATTAAAATCCAAACGCTTGAAATCCCGACTATGTCAAAATCCCGACTACCATAATCCCGACAATCCGGGGAATTTTAAACATTTCAAAATATATTTATCTTACTACACTTTATCATGGTTTTTACTTTTATATATGTTAAATTTCGTATTACTTATTGCATAAATTTGAAAAATTACTTACAAATACTTTTCAATGTAGACATCACAATTATTTAATAAAAAACGACAAAAGAAACAAATCCTGAAATCCCGACTATATCGAAATTCCGACTACCATATAAATGTTATTGTAGAAATTTATAATA